TGGGGATACACACTGTGGAGGTATGCCAATAGGGACTAAAAGATAATGGGCCAGTAGTGGTTTTATGGAGAAACTATAGTGGAAACAGCAGGACTAAGAAAATTCCTAGAGGCCGGAGGCCATCAGCCAAGAGAATGGCTGTGTGGAAGTGTTACCAAGATAAGGAGTAACTTGTGTTCTGGATGGTTGGAAGGAACCAGCCCTTAAAGTGCTACTTTGAGGTTTTATAAAAAGGGAGCCAAGAGGTAGCACAGGTGCCTAATGGGGGTCACCAAAGTTCTGTGAGAGTGAGGGACAAATAATGAGGTTCCTGAATATTAGGGAGTCCATGAGTGAGGCAGTGGCCCAAAATTAACACTTTCGCGCCCCGGGCGTGCGCGCTGCAAACTTTGACGTCACGCTCCTGGCGGTTTGGGTGAGCGTGTGCACGCGGCGAGACCGAAATGTGTATACTCGTTTCAGAGGAAACAAATCCACAAGGGCCGTGACGAGGATTCGAACCTTCGTCCGGGAGCATCCCAGACACTGCCTTAATCGACTGAGCTACGACAGGGTAAAAAGAGTTGAAACCTTGTGGATTTGTTCATTTGATGTATCACGTTAGTGTGATTTCTGCGTGTAAACGTGTTTCAGTTTCTCACCTTAATTCTCGTGCTACGTCGTTCGTTTTGGTATCATCGTGTTCACAATAGAATTTCCTACAGGTGTATATGCATATAAGGTCCAAACGCCCAGTGTGACTCCCCACAGCAAAGCCTAGTCTTCAAAAGTTACCCGTGAGTGCACAAAATCAGTAAAATGTGTATACCCGTTTCAATTTCCTCACCTTAATTCTCGTACTATGTCATTCGTTTTGGTATCATTGTGTTTGCAATTAAATTCCCTGCAGATGTATATGCATATATTGTCCACAAGCCCAGCATGACTCCCCTTAGCAAAGTCTAAAGTTACCTGTGAACGAGCACCAATTGCAACCTAATGTGTATACTCGTTCAGTTTGATAACATCAATTTTCGAATTACATCTTTCATTTTGGTCTCAAATTGTTCACAATATAAAGGCGTGTATTTTAAAACTAGTCCCATAATAATAGAGCAATAAATGGAATTTTAACAAATATTTTAAATTTTGGACGCACAACATCACAAAATTATTTATATCTTTCCAGTGTTCTGACATCAATTTTCGTGTTACATCTTTCATTTGGGTATCAAATTGTGTGTACTCTAAAGGTGCTCATTTTAAAACCACTCCCAGATTGATTGGATACAATTACAATTTTTAACAAATATTTTAAAATGTGGACGCCGCTCGCGTTATTGGCTCGGACTCAAGAGAAAAATTATGGACGCCAGGGGCGTTAAAAGAATGTGAAAGTTTTAAGTACCAGGGCGTGTGGTTGGAAGGCATCCCTGTGAGGTAGACCGAGTAACAAAATAAATTATATATATAACATCACAGATAAATTGACTAGTGGGGAAAATCCAGGCAGCGTGAGAGTATCTGGCAACTGTCTCGGAGAACAGGTGTTGCCAGTCCTATGAGAGACAAGTTATAAAAATTCCCAACCTGAAGATTTAATTTAGTGGAACTGCTTTTATCCATAGTTGGAGTGGGATACAGTGAATAATTCTGATCAGATCTCAAAGAGACAAATCTATGGATACCTCACATGATTATATTCAGATGATAAATAACCAAAAGACTACGTAGCAAGCAGCCCATAGACTACTGGTGATATTACTAGGAGAATTTTTTTGTTATATATTATCTATTATCACAAAGGGTTAGATTATTTCCAGGCAATATATATATGTATATATGTATACGCATATATTAGAGGATAGATGACACAGTGTGTGGCGATGCAAGGCTATCTTGAGGTTACCTTGAGGTGCTTCCGGGGCTTAGCGTCCCTGCGGCCCGGTCGTCGACCAGGCCTCCTGGTTGCAAGGCTGGAGAAAGATTTAAATCTTTGAATGTATTGGCAGCAGGTTTTCATTTAGACATGTTTCAATGAATATGATTGCATATTCTGTATTGATTATTTTCTTGTTTAGGGCTTCTATCCCTTTGACTAGTGCTCTTGCATCTTGGTTTAACTGGAAGAGGATTTCTCCAAATGTCATTTTTGTTCGAGGTAAACTAAAAGAAATAATTAACTGTAGTATGTATAATACACTTATTATAAATTTACACAATGTTTTGAACCTACATGGTTCAATCTCAAGTGAATGGGACAGTACTGGAGCGTATTGGATTTATACTATTAGGGAGGTCAGGTACATGTAAATACAAATAATTGAAAAATAAGGCGTAGAGGGGGGTGAAGAATAAAGCGTAAAAGGGTGAAGAATAAGGTGAAAAAAAAGGAAGGGGATCATATTCCAAGATTAATCAGGTGTAGTGGCCCTGGTGTTTTGAGCATTTCCAACTTATCTTGGAAATGAAGTGGAACTTGCTACTGGCTTGGGCAACATGGGAAAGTCATAGTGCTCTGACATCAGCAACAGAATTGAATCAGGCTGGAAAATGGGAGCACATGGGAGGCCACTGGGAAGTTTGACCTTAGTTTTAAGTGAACCATTTGGATTTGAGTGAAGCTTTTGCAGAGTCTGTTAGTTATTTCAGTGCTTCATATAGGTGAATCTTGCAGTTGTTTATATTGCTTCACTCTCTGAATGCTTTCTTGGTGTCAGAGATCATAAAAATACCCAGCTGTCTGTGCAAAGTGAAGGGGCAAGGTTTAGACTTTGGTCTCCAGTAGGCTAACAGGACTCCTATTGCAGATGTGACTCGGTATGCAAAGCCATCTCAGCGAGATAGCTACAGGAAGTCACCGGAGGCACCCCAAGAAAACCAGTATGAGTAAATCTGGATACTGTAACAGTTCAGGATATACAAACCAGTTCTTTGTAATCCAGCCTTATACTGCTGAAGTAATCTGTTAGGATTACAGATACTCAAGTTCCTTTTATGGCAACTCAGAACAGGGCAGCCATCTATATTATTAATAATAATGAAACAGCTGGCATTCACCCTTTGGATTTTTGAAACAGTTGAGTATGTCATATAAACTATGAACATAAACAGCCAAATGTAAACTCATGTGTGGTATATGTGAAGGGATCAGCAAAGATGAGCAGATGTAAAGATTTTAGGAAGACTTAAGTTGCTGACTGCAGCTTTACACATCTTGTAGTGACAATTTGCTCACTCAGCTGATCTCTTTACATATCCATTACACGCCCTCATGGCTTGAATTTAACAAGGCACGCGGCGAGACCGAAATGTGTATACTCGTTTCAGAGGAAACAAATCCACAAGGGCCGTGACGAGGATTCGAACCTTCGTCCGGGAGCATCCCAGACACTGCCTTAATCGACTGAGCTACGACAGGGTAAAAAGAGTTGAAACCTTGTGGATTTGTTCATTTGATGTATCACGTTAGTGTGATTTCTGTGTGTAAACTCGTTTCAGTTTCTCACCTTAATTCTCGTGCTACATCGTTCGTTTTGGTATCATTGTGTTCACAATAGAATTTTCTACAGGTGTATATGCATATAAGATCCAAACGCCCAGTGTGACTCCCCACAGCAAAGCCTAGTCTTCAAAAGTTACCCACAAAATCAGTAAAATGTGTATACCCGTTTCAGTTTTCTCACCTTAATTCTCGTACTATGTCATTTGTTTTGGTATTTGGTATGTGTTTGCAATTAAATTCCCTGCAGATGTATATGCATATATTGTCCAAAAGCCCAGCATAACTCCCCTTAGCAAAGTCTAAAGTTACCTGTGAACGAGCACCAATTGCAACCTAATGTGTATACTCGTTCAGTTTGATAACATAAATTTTCGTATTACGTCTTTCATTTTGGTCTCAAATTGTTCACAATATAAAGGCGCGTATTTTAAAACTAGTCCCATAATAATAGAGCAATAAATGGAATTTTAACAAATATTTTAAATTTTGGACGCACAACATCACAAAATTATTTATATCTTTTCAGTGTTTTGACATCAATTTTCGTGTTACATCTTTCATTTGGGTATCAAATTGTGTGTACTCTAAAGGTGCTCATTTTAAAACCACTCCCAGATTGATTGGATACAATTACATTTTTTAACAAATATTTTAAAATGTGGACGCCGCTCGCGTTACCGGCTCGGACTCAAGAGAAAAATTGTGGACGCCAGGGGCGTTAAAAGAATGTGAAAGTTTTAAGTACCAGGGCGTGTGGTTGGAAGGCATCCCTGTGAGGTAGACCGAGTAACAAAATAAATTATATATATAACATCACAGATAAATGGACTAGTGGGGAAAATCCAGGCAGCGTGAGAGTATCTGGCAACTGTCTCGGAGAACAGGTGTTGCCAGTCCTATGAGAAACAAGTTATAAAAATTCCCAACCTGAAGATTTAATTTAGTGGAACTGCTTTTATCCATAGTTGGAGTGGGATACAGTGAATAATTCTGATCAGATCTCAAAGAGACAAATCTATGGATACCTCACATGATTATATTCAGATGATAAATAACCAAAAGACTACGTAGCAAGCAGCCCATAGACTACTGGTGATATTACTAGAAGAATTTTTTTGTTATATATTACCTATTATCACAAAGGGTTAGATTATTTCCAGGCAATATGTATATGTATATATGTATACGTATATATTAGAGGATAGATGACACAGTGTGTGGCGATGCAAGGCTACCTTGAGGTTACCTTGAGGTGCTTCCGGGGCTTAGCGTCCCCGCGGCCCGGTCGTCGACCAGGCCTCCTGGTTGCAAGGCTGGAGAAAGATTTAAATCTTTGAATATATTGGCAGCAGGTTTTCATTTAGACATGTTTCAATGAATATGATTGCATATTCTGTATTGATTATTTTCTTGTTTAGGGCTTCTATCCCTTTGACTAGTGCTCTTGCATCTTGGTTTAACTGGAAGAGGATTTCTTCAAATGTCATTTTTGTTCGAGGTAAACTAAAAGAAATAATTAACTGTAGTATGTATAATACACTCATTATAAATTTACACAATGTTTTGAACCTACATGGTTCATTCTCAAGTGAATGGGACAGTACTGGAGCGTATTGGATTTATACTATTAGGGAGGTCAGGTACATGTAATTACAAATAAGTGAAGACTAAGGCGTAGAGGGGGGTGAAGAATAAAGCGTAAAAGGGTGAAGAATAAGGTGAAAAAAAAGGAAGGAATCATATTCCAAGATTAATCAGGTGTAGTGGCCCTGGTGTTTTGAGCATTTCCAACTTATCTTGGAAATAAGTGGAACTTGCTACTGGCTTGGGCAACATGGGAAAGTCATAGTGCTGACATCAGCAACGGAATTGAATCAGGCTGGAAAATGGGAGCACATGGGAGGCCACTGGGAAGTTTGACCTTAGTTTTAAGTGAACCATTTGGATTTGAGTGAAGCTTTTGCAGAGTCTGTTAGTTATTTCAGTGCTTCATATAGGTGAATCTTGCAGTTGTTTATATTGCTTCACTCTCTGAATGCTTTCTTGGTGTCAGAGATCATAAAAATACCCAGCTGTCTGTGCAAAGTGAAGGGGCAAGGTTTAGACTTTGGTCTCCAGTAGGCTAACAGGACTCCTATTGCAGATGTGACTCGGTATTCAAAGCCATCTCAGCGAGATAGCTACAGGAAGTCACCGGAGGCACCCCAAGAAAACCAGTATGAGTAAATCTGGATACTGTAACAGTTCAGGATATACAAACCAGTTCTTTGTAATCCAGCCTTATACTGCTGAAGTAATCTGTTAGGATTACAGATACTCAAGTTCCTTTTATGGCAACTCAGAACAGGGCAGCCATCTATATTATTAATAATAATGAAACAGCTGGCATTCACCCTTTGGATTTTTGAAACAGTTGAGTATGTCATATAAACTATGAACATAAACAGCCAAATGTAAACTCATGTGTGGTATATGTGAAGGGATCAGCAAAGATGAGCATATGTAAAGATTTTAGGAAGACTTAAGTTGCTGACTGCAGCTTTACACATCTTGTAGTGACAATTTGCTCACTCAGCTGATCTCTTTACATATCCATTACACGCCCTCATGGCTTGAATTTAACAAGAGGGATGTTTTTTGAGCCGAGGCACTTGTCACACACCCATTCTGCATAAACTTCCCCCGTCAGCAGATGATACGCTCCTTCTGTTAGTCCTGTACATACTCTGAAACATAAAATCAACCATTTACAAGAATTCAAATAAACAAGTAATATACATATTTTGGCATTTTAACATACAGTATAAGAACCATTCATAGATAATTACTGTACATACTGTATTACTATTATTTCAATAAGAATAACTGCAATAATATGCAGGAATGTTACCAAAATACATGTCTTCACACCTTACAAAACTAACAAACAACATGGAAATTCCATTTTAGGAATGAGGAAACTTAGTTTTCTTCAATTCACTCTTGTGACTAATAGTCTATACTGTGCTTTAATTCACTCTTGTGACTAATAGTCTATACTGTGCTTTAATTCACTCTTGTGACTAAGTTGTGAGGGGAAACAAACAACAGTAACAGCGTAAGTACAACAACCAAGCTTGAGCCTTTATCATCATCAACAGTACCAAAATTTCAGCCCATCCTCCTGTTTTGGTAGTACTTATAGTAACAATGAGAACCACAGTACTGTATATATACCAATGTACAACGAAATTATAATGTAGAACTCTGAACTATTGAGTTAGACAAACCAGAAAACAATTTTTTATTTGTGTTGATTTGACAAACTAAACTAACCTAACCTAACCTTCCTAGGTTAATACACGATATATGAGGGGGCACACACGTACAGTACAGTACATGTGTGTGCTATACTAGGACTAGGATTATTTGTGTTTTACCTTTATTTATTTTAAAAAAATTCCTTACTAGTCAGTAAACTACTGTCTAAAAGCTAAGAACATACAAATTCTGACTATTGACGATCGTCATAATAGGTACTATTTAAACAGGAGGATGGGTTGCAAAACTTCCCATTTTCAAGTAATGGAGAGGTATCAACTCAGAGGAGAGAGGGAAAACAGTGTAAGATTTGAAGGCTAAATATATTCAAACACAACACTATAGACCACATCTTATACATTACAAGCATTACAAAGAACAGCATCACTACACATCAGCAGATCATCCAGACCAGCATCCCAATGCTTAATAAGACTAGGTGGAGAGTGTTTCTCCTGAGCTGTCATATACCAACATTCAATACCTTTACACAAACTGCTGCAACCAAGCCTTGTTCCATACCACTTCTTGTGTACTGCTGACAATCCCCACTTTATACCTAAACATTCACACACACACACACCCACCTGTGTACAGGAATTGTAGCAGATGTGTGGAAAAAGGCTAACATAGTTCCAATCTACAAAAGTGGCAGCAGGGAAGACCTCCCCCCCCCTCAATTATAGACCTGTATCATTGACAAGTGTAATAGTCAAAATATTGGACAAAATAATAAAAACTAAAGGGGTAGAACACCTGGAGAGAAATGATATAATATCAGACAGACAGTATGGTTTTCGATCTGCAAGATCCTGTGTATTGAATTTACTCAGTTTCTATGATCGTGCAACAGAGATTTTACAGGAAAGAGATGGTTGGGTTGACTGCATGGAGTCCATATCTAGTCAATCGTAAGACTAAACTGGAAAAGGTTCCACTCTTTGCCACCAGACTAATACCCGAACTGAGGGGTATGAGTTACGAGGAGAGACTACGGGAATTAAACCTCACGTCACTGGGAGACAGAAGAGTTAGAGGGAACATGATCACCACATACAAGATTCTCAGAGGAATTGATAGAGTAGATAAAAACAGGCTATTTACCACAAGGGGTACACGCACTAGGGAACACAGGTGGAAACTGAGCGCCCAAATGAGCCATAGAGACATCAGAAAGAATTTTTTCTGTGTCAGAGTAGTAGACATATGGAATGCATTAGGAAGTGATGTGGTGGAGGCTGATTCCATACACAGCTTCAAGTGTAGATATGATAGAGCCCAGTAGGCTTAGGAACCTGTACATTAGTTGATTGACAGTTAATAGGCGGGGACCAAAGAGCCAGAGCTCAACCCCCGCAAGCACAATTAGGTAAGGACAATTAGATAAGTACACAGGAAAGGCTACGGGAAATGCAACTTACGACACTGGAAGACAGAAGAGTAAGGGGAGACATGATCACTACCTACAAAATCCTCAGGGGAATTGACAGGGTAGACTAGGATAAACTATTCAACACTGGTGGTACGCGATCAAGGGGACACATGTAGAAACTGAGTACCCAAATGAGCCACAGGGATGTTAGAAACAACTTTTTCAGTGTCAGAGTATTGAACAGGTGGAATGCATTAGGCAGTGATGTGGTGGAGGCTGACTCCATACACTGTTTTAAATGTAGATATGATAAGAGCCCAGTAGGCTCAGGAATCTGTACACCAGTTGATTGACGGTTGAGAGGCGGGACCAAAGAGCCAAAGCTCAAACCCCGCAAGCACAACTAGGTGAGTACAAGGAAGGACAGAAGAACTCTGGAAGACATGATCACCACATACAAGATTTTCAGGGAAATTGACAGGGGTAGACGAGGATGGATTATTTAACATGGGTGGTACAAGGGGACACAGGTGGAAGGCGAGTACCCAAATGAGCCCCACAGACATTAGAAAGAACCTTTTCAGTGTCAGAGTAATTAGTAAATGGAATGCATTAGGCTGACTCCATACACAGTTTCAAATGTAGATATGATAGAGCTTGAGAAGCTCAGGAATCTATACACCAGAATATTGGCAGTTGAGAGGCGGGACCAAAGAGCTAAACTCTACCCCCACAAGCACAACTAGGTGAGTATACAGACATGCAACAAATGGCTTTCAGAACTGAAAGACAAAAGCTATAAGGAGAGGTTAGACATTAAATATGGCAAAACTAGAAGATAGAAGAAAAAAAAGGTGACATGATCACTATGTACAAAATAGTAAATGAATCAACAAAATTTATAATATTGAATTCTCGAGACCTGGAACTTCAAGAACAAAAGGTCACAGATTCAAAGCTAACTAATCAAAGCTGCAGAAGAAATATAAGAAAATTTACTTTCACAAACAGTGTGGTAGACTGTTGGAACAAGTTAAGTGAGAAGGTGGCAGAAGCCAAAAGTGACAGTAGTTTCAAAGTGTTATACTGTATAACAAAGAGTACTGGGAGGATGGGACACCATGAGCGTAGCTCTCATTCTGTAAGTATAGTACACTTAAGTAATTACACACACAGTAGTGTTCCACAGGGCTGTCCTAGAACCATGTTAATGTTTGCAGATGATGCAAAGTTAATGAGGAGAGTAAAAACTGAAGAGGACTATAAGGTGCTGCATAAAGACCTTAAACTTCACGAGTGGGCAGATATATTGCTGCTGGAATTCAATCCAAATGAGTGCAAAGTCATGAAAATGGGTGAGAGAGATAGGAGACCTGTATTTAACTGTACCATAAGAGAAAGGCAATTACAAGAAACAAAAAGAGAAAAAACCTAGGAGTAAACACAATCCTAACATCAACACCAGAAGCTCATGTGAACGTCAGTGGAAGCTGGACATGCAGTCGAAACAAGAGATGTAAGGAAGTTCTCATTCTCTGTATGGATGGTTGGCAAGTGGGATGCATTGAAGGAAGAGTGAAACCTTCCTTCATTACTGAAACCAATTCCATCCGTATCTTTAAAAAATAAATATGATGAACACATGAATGTTGAAGAAGTTAATAATCAGCATGCCAGGTATAAAGGTGAGGAGATGAGGAATAAAGACCTAGATTTCACTCTTCTGTAATCACTGACAGGTAACCACTCTCACCCACCACAGAGTCCAACAAGGGAAGGTACAAGCATGCAGGTAACCACAAGAGTAACAAGGTGACTACATGCAGGTAACTACAGGAGATTCTGAATAGCAGCCCAGGTTCACCAGCCAGACCAGCCAACTGATTCAGTGAGACCCACTGAATCACCCGCTTTACCCTTATCCCACCACCAAGGAAGTGTGTTGCCCAGCAAGGGCTACACCCACTAGGCTTCATGATTAGATAAATGAACAAAATGGAATACATGGGGCTCCTTGCATGGCCCACACACAGGTAGTGAAGCCACATGGACATAATTAGCTTGTGCACCATCACAGCAGACAGGAGAAGGAGCAAAATCCACCATGAATTGAACCTGGAGAGGGTTCTGAGAGTTCTACTCCTTATGCCTTGTAAGAGCTTAGTCCAAAAGACTGTTGTTTAGGGCAGTCTGCAGGCCCACTTATAACCCAGTTAGTCCAGCATTTCTTGAAGAAATTGTATTTTTCTTGTAGTAGTCCACTTCTGTTCTGGCAACATTTCCTTATATTTGCTAGAGGATACTGAACAGCAATGGAACTCAGATGTTCATATAGTGTTCTTTGATTGTGCCTGTAGTACCTCTACTTTTCACTGGCTCTATTCTGCATTTCCTATGCAGACGAGGAGTCACAATTTTCTACCCTGCATTTCTTACCATATTGTTTACTCTGGTATGTCGTCATTTTACTCTACAAATTGGGGACCTGGCATTCCAGTATTGTCCATATATACTATATGATACCTCTCTTGTCCCCTTTCAATAGAGAACATTTTGAGAGCTTTGAGATGGTCTCAATAATTTAGGTGCTTTATTGTATATGTGTGCCTTTTTCGGCAATCTCTCCTGCTCTGAAGGAGTGCCGAGTATTGAGCAATATTCAAGGCAGGACAGCACAATTATTTTGATGCTATATTTACTTGGTTATGCTCCTTAAACATTAGGTCGTCAGACATTCTTATTCCTAGATCCTTTACTTCTTGCCTTCCTTATATGAATAGGTCTGATCATGTCTTTTATCCTGTACAGTATTTTGTTTAAGGTCTCAATTTTTTTCATACCTAAGAGCCTTGAATTTATTACTGTTAACCATCATGTTAATTCCCTCTGCCCAATCAAAAATGATATTAATATCAGCTTGTAGATTTTCAATGACCTTTACAGAAGTAATTTTCATGCTGAGTTTTTTGTCATCTACAAAAGATGACACAAAGGTATGATCAGTATTTTTGTCTATACTATATGTGATATGAGAATAAGAAAAAGCAGTGGTGAAAGGACTGTGCTCTGAGGTACAGAGCTTTTCACTGTGGTTGGATTTGATTTTGTTTGATTGACTGTTACTCTTTACATTCTGTTTGACAAGAAATTGAATATTAAACCAAGGAATTAGCTTATCAATACTTTAACTTGGTTAGTTAAATGAATTTTGAGGTTCAGTCCCTGAGCCCATTATACTTCTAACTTTATCCACTACCACCCACAGGATGGGTATGGGATGCATAATAAATGAACTAAACTAAAAAATAAAAAAAAAAAAACATTTGAATCGGTCATTCATTATGTCGTTCACAATATAAAGTGTCACTCACATACTATAGACAAAAAGTGAAAACAAGAATTAACATATAATAGTTAAGGTTGCCCAGGTTGTTGTTTTTTGTTTCATATTATTTATGACATTGTGTAGTACTTTTGTGAGTAATTTTCCTATTTATAGCTACTGTACAAATAAAGTGAGCTGAGTTCTATCAAGAAAAGTGTGACAAAGGTGGAAAGTGTAATTAACCCTTTAACTGCACCACCTCCAAATATGACACCCCCCTCCCCTCCAGTGCGCAGGAAATAAATTATTTTGAAAAAATTCGTTTTTTTTTTTATAGTGTCAAAAACCCTTCCCTCAGTATGGGCATGTCAAAAAAATTTTGAAATTGTACTTACTTTGGCTGCTATGGGTATCGTAAGTTGGCGCGTGACGTCATCATTCCCCGTTCGCCCATGATGTACGCTCCCGGGGCCAGTAGGGCGCCCAGGGCGGGGCGAGCGAGTTGCCGCGAATATATTTTTGTTCATTTTTTTGCGTGTTTTTACATGCTAATCCTATGTATAATGAATACGTATACTATATTATGGCAGTAAAACATCTGTACTGTCTGAGGACGCTGTATTACGTGCATGACACTTGTGTACACATATGTTGCACATATTTACCATGTATCATGCTAATTTATGTACTGTATATACAATCTATTTACAGACTATACACTGTCACACACTATATACATTCACCATTAACACATTCAGAACACTGCGAGTATGAGCAGCCACACCAAGCCAGCCCTCCCTCACTCCTCCAACATTGTATTCGCCAACATTGCTCCTCCCATCATACAGTTATTCACACCAATGTTTCATGTTCATTTATGTATATTTACAACATATATACACACTATACACTGTCACACACTATATACATTTACCATCAACACATTCAGAACATCGTGAGTGTGAGCAGCCACACCCAGACAGGCCCTCCCTCACTCCAACATCTTACTCGCCAACATTGCTCCTCCCACCATACTGTTATTGTTTTTATTACACTATTTACACATGTTATATATACCTAACTACATGTTTTATTTACCAGAACTATGCAAGTAAGCCGGTATTGTGTCCAAACAATACAGTGGCCACCATACACTGCATGAGAAATCACACAGCTGACAGCAGACGACGCTACGATTACGACGTCACCTCCCTCACCAAAATAGCTCCTCTCAACATACTCCTGTTGCTGTTATTACACTATACACACACACACACACACTGTATATACCCATGTACATGTGTGTTACCCATAGTGAACCACAAAGGTAGTATGGTGAGCAAAACAAGAGTGGCTGCCACACAATGAGGCTACCTCAATTCTCTCCCTTCCTCACCAAAATTCCTCCTTCCACAATCCTATGCACAATGGTAATTATAACCACAATCCTGGTCACTAATTCCTGTAAATGAATAATTGACCACACGTTTATTTTGAAAAGGAACCTAAGAAGTCATTTGAAGATTCCTAGATGCCAAAATAATGCTGTGGTGCTGTGGCTAGTGCTGTGAACATTGTGAACAGCATTGAATAACTGATATTTGAACATTGTACTCAGTCATTATCACACTCAGGCTCTTCTATAATACTATCATGGCTAAATAATACAAGGTATATATATATTTTGACATTATTAGGCGATGCTGTGGTCACACGCTGAACAGCAGTGCTGAGCGCTCATGCTGCGAGAGCCAGCCTTGGTTGCTCACTCACTACTGAGGCTCTTACACCCGGGAATGTGGACCATGATTTTCTTTAAAGATGGTGTCTGTTTACAAGAGTCCTGAGGAAGCTGATATGAACCCCATGTAGCGGCGGGAGTTTTGAATGGAACGTGAAAAATAAAAATACCTGGAGACGCGTAGTGCACCCCAGACGTGGGCCTGCAGGCGCATTGCGCAGTTAAAGGGTTAAACACTTCCCAAAGTTATGATAATTTTAACCCATGTCAAATGCCTTTAATAATTAAAAAATCCAAAAATCTAACCTGTGAAACCAGAAGTTGCAACCAGATTCGCAGAGGATGGCTTGGTCATTGTCGTGTACCTCCTTGTGGCAGATTCCACATGGATAGATGGGCGGAGCATTGGGGTTTTGAGGGTTGAAAACCATCGGCTGGTCGGGCGGGTAAACCTAAAATTATTGTGTGAATCAGGGACCTACTGGCGGAGAAATTGGCCCCGATTTTTAGTTTTAAGTAAAAGTTCAGGCTCAAAAAAATTAGTTAGGGTCCAACTCCGCAACGTAAAGTTACTCTACTTTGGTTAGTATTCAGATATATTAACTATGAAAGGGTGTTAAGCTGAAAAAAGTAAGTTAGTTTAATAAATATCATGAGCTTTAATCACATGAAGTATACTTACAGTCTTGCACTAAGAAAATATATATGTACTCTAAATTACATTGTTAAAAACACAAAGGAAGTTAGTAAAGATTATTCTAATACAGGTACTGGTTTTTTACTTCAATGCATCTAAGCTATCTGACAGCTTTTAGCATGCAATACTGTACATGTAACATAAAATTTATAAAATATTTATAGCAATCTTTGATTTGTAATCTTTGATTTTTTGAGTTAAATCCTGATAATGGGAACACACAGAAAAAAACCAGCATTGAATGTAATGAAACGCCATCTTCTGGGTGAGCCCTGGAGGCTTCCTGGAGCTATCAGACTGATATGCTGTATATTAGTCTGGGGCATTACCAGGACTGAAAGAGCAGAAGCCCCTGCACCGGAGGAGAGCATGAAGCTCACCTACCCGACCCCCAGAGGTCAATACCAACAGAAACAGAGCCTGTTTCTGAAAAAAACGATCTTTTTTTCCTTCTGGAAAAACAATCTTGAACCAAAGGGGCCACCTTAAACCGAGGAGAAGAGAGAAAGGAGAGCATTCAGTCCAAGGACCAGGATGGCTCAGGCAGCACATGAGCAGGCCAGAGGTGAAACAAAGAACAAGAAAGCTTACTGAATGGGGCGGAAGTGACATCCACCCCAAACGCATGCTGAAGCAGCTCCACCAGCACCGCACGTTAAGAGGTGACAGTATTCTGCATCAAATGATGGTCCTGAAAAAGACAAGAAAGAAAGAAAGAACAAAACAACCTGATCAGAAATATCAGACAACCAACGAAGAGAGAGAAAATGGCAAAAAGATCGCGAGGAGACTCCATACTGTCGCCGAGACGAAGCTTGCAGGTGGGACACTATCAAAGAAGCCACCCGATTACCATACAAATGGTGATATACCCGCATCAAAAATACCACACGTGAAGAGCAGAGGAGTAGACCTAACCAGCCATGTTCCGCACAGGCCCGATCTGCTGATAGAGGTGGAGCCACGAAAAACGCGCAAGGGGCTGACCACCAAGGCAAGGGGTCACAAGGATAACTCTCAGGGAAAAGTCCAACAGAGCCAGAACACGAAGCAACAACTGGACCGGGAGGAAAGAGATACAGGTAACCCCACCTCGACCAGTCATGCCGAAAGGCATCCACCACGACGGCTCCGCAGTCTGGGAAGGGTGCCACATATATCGTGAGACACAGATACCACGTCGACGCAAAGAGGTTTACCTCCGGGAGCCCATACGTCTGGCAGAGCCAACTGAAGGAGACAACATCAACCGTCAATTCCGTGGATAATGGAATGAATCAAGACAGACAGTCTGCCAGGATGGGACACTACCTGAATATAAACCCGCATAGCGAGCAAAACCCCGAGAATCCAGCAGATGAGTCACTCGAAGCAACCAGCCCTAAAGAACCAAGGACCGAAGAGAACCCCCACGGTTCAGACAATGAACCACCAGTGAGCAGTCCGAATGGAGCAGGATAGTGGAGCCCTGAGTGACCAAACCCTCCGAAGCGACAGCCAAACCGTCGCAAACTCCTGCACTGTGCTGTAAGTTCGACGAAGAACGGAGCCCTCCACCCTGGCCAGCCTGATGAGCACTGGTTATAAAACCCCAGCCAAGAGACGAGGCATTCGTGAACACATTGAGCGAGGGTTCTGGTAGGCACTAAGGCACTGAACCCTGAAAAACCCGAAGAGGAAGCCAGCGACACAGCAACCAACGCAAGGCCCACGGAGTCTGAATCCAGCGATCGTGAGAGACAGAAGGGGACGGCCCCGAAGGAACCAGAATGGATGCCGAAGCAGGTAAACCAGCATGGCGAAGTTCAGACACCTGCACAACTGCTTGAGCAACCATTGAGTGACCCAAGACCCTTTCCCCAGAGACAGCTGAAGGCGGGACTGCAGCCACAGCAATGCCTCTGGAGGGAGAGACATGGAAGCAGACTGAGAGTCCTACACACAAGGCCTAGCAGACACAAACGGACCACCTCGACCCAGGTAAAACACGCGAATATGCAAGGTGCCAGATTCAAGCCAAAGGGATGGCAACAAAAGCAGTAAGCCTGCCGCCCCACCACGAAACCTAACCATCCCTTAACCCCAGATGAATTGGGACGTGCCATTACGTGTCCCAGAGGTCCAAAGACACCATCCAAGCATCCGGCTCCAAAAGAAACTGGAACCGAGACATTATGGTCATCCGAAAGGAGGGGCAAGGAATCCAGGGGTTCAGATGGGACAAGTCCAGAATGAATCTCAGATCCGCACAACCCCATTTCGGCATTGGAAACAAGCGGGAAACCCACCTGAGGGACGTGGTCATTTCGACCACGCCCAACCACACCCACTCAAAGATGACCCAACGCTGCACAGGGTAAGAAGCCTGCTGCATGAGCCTCGAACCCCCTGAAGGAGGAGGAACCATCAATGTCACCACAGGCCGGATGATATGACCCGAAATGCCCACAAATCTTCGGACCAGGCATGAGCAAACAGTACGAGCCTCCACCCCATCAATGGGGCGACCCACGAATGGGCCGACACCCCTTACGAGAAGCCGGCCAACGAGCAGAGCAAACATCACGCCGACGAGATGACGACCGCTCCGAAGGAAGAGCCGGCTCAGAAACTGGCACCAATGGCCCACAACGACTGGAAGAACTCTGAACCCTGGCACGACCCTTTCGAGAAGTCCAAGCACGGCCATCCCAGAGAACCAACAAGTCCCACATAGGACGACAACTAGACGAAGCCGCCTGCAGAAATTGAGCAACTGGAGCCTCCGCAAACAGCAACGGACAAAAAAACCAGCGTTGAATGTAATGAAACGCCATTTTCTGGGTGAGACGCGGAGGCTTCCCGGAGCTATATTGGGCTAATGTGTATATATTAGACCACGATAATAGTCAATCGAAGGAGTTCTAGGCCTACTGGGGACCAGAGCCAGAACCTGGCCCCCCTCAAGAGAGGCACGAGGAGCAATGGCCTAAAGACACCTCCGTGTAATTGGAAGCAGTCTTTGTCTGCTATCTACCAGGTCAGGCATCCAGAAAGTTAGGAATTCCAAAACAAACTACTGATGATCAAATAATTTGCAAACCGAAAACCAAACTAGCAACAGAACTCCCCAATCAAAACCAAGGAAACAAGTATGACGTCACTGCAAATGCTGTGCATCCGTCTGTGCAACCCCCCCCCCCTCCCCAGAAAGGGGACGGGGAGGTCCCAGACCTCCATGCCGGCAACTCTTCTCAGTTCAGAGGCTGAGTATCAAAAACGTGAAAAACTGCCAACCGGAGGGAGGGAGGGTTGCCAGGGGAGCCTCCGGGTCTCACCCAGAAAATGGCATTTCATTACATTCAAGGCTGGTTTTCTGTGGAGAGCCCCTTCGGCTCCCCGGAGCTACCTAACCAAACATAAAGAAAAAGAGGGACTTACCCAGGAGGTGGTCGTCAATATTATATTCAGAGGTTGAAAATGGGACATAGATTCACGGAAAATGAAAAGGAAATGTGTGAAACATTAAACGAAAAGTTCCAAAGTGTGTTTGTACAAAATGAAATCTTCAGGGAACCAGATACAATAAGAATTCCAGAGAACAACATAGAGCACATAGAGGTGTCTAGAGACGAAGTGGAAAAAAATGCTCAAGGAGCTAAATAAGAACAAAGCAGTTGGTCCAGATGGAGTTTCACCATGGGTTCTGAGAGAATGTGCACCTGAGCTCAGCATTCCACTTCAACTGATTTTTCAGGCATCCCTGTTTACAGGAGTTGTAGCTGATGTGTGGAAAAAGGCTAACATAGTTCCAATCTACAAAAGTGGAAGCGGGGAAGACCCCCTTAATTATAGACCGGTATCATTGATAAGTGTAATAGTCAAAATATTGGAAAAAATAATTAAAACTAAATGGGTAGAACACCTGGAGAGAAATGATATAATATCAGAGAGACAGTATGGTTTTCTACCTGGAAGATCCTGTGTATCGAATTTACTCAGTTTCTACGATCGAGCAACAGAGATATTACAGGAAAGAGATGGTTGGGTGGACTGCATCTATCTGGACCTAAAAAAGGCTTTCAACAGAGTTCCACGTAAGAGGTTGTTCTGGAAACTGGAAAATATTGGAGGGGTGACAGGTAAGCTTCTAACATGGATGAAAAATTTTCTGACTGATAGAAAAATGACGGCAGTGATCAGAGGGAATATATTGGACTGGAGAAATGTCACAAGTGGAGTATCACAGGGTTCAGTTTTTGCACCAGTGATGTTTATTGTCTACATAAATGATCTACCAGTTGGTATACAGAATTATATGAACATGTTTGCTGATGATGCTAAGATAATAGGAAGGATAAGAAACTTAGATGATTGTCATGCCCTTCATGATGACCTGGACAAAATAAGTATATGGAGCACCACTTGGCAAATGGAATTTAATGTTAATAAATGCCATGTTGGAAAGAATACGGTCCAGAGATCAAGCAGGCTCAGGCAGCACATAAGAAGTCTGGAAGTGAAACTATGTGTGAGACGAAATCTCATACTATCACCGAGAAGAAGCACACAAGTGAGACTACTAATTCAGCAACTTGCTTGCCATAAAGATGGTGATAGATCTGCATAAAACACCAGACTTGAAGATCAGAGAAGGACAAAAATGTGAAGTACTGTATGTCACTGGGCTGACCATTTGTCACTGAGAGGTACTGCAGAAAAATGCCCAGGTTTTTCTGCAACAAAAACACCATGCAAGCAGCTCCTGAAACCAAGGCTGAGGAGGCCACCAAAGAGCCAGAAGGATCACCCTTGCCCTGTAGGACTTCAACCTGGCCAGGACTCGGAGCAATATACTGACCAGGGGGAAGAGGTATAGGAACTTCCCCTCATCCAGTCTAAGTCTCTTTTCATTCCTAGTAGCTTAGCATCATCATCAAACATGTTCATATAATTCTGTATTTCTTCTGGTAGGTTATGTAGACAATGAACATTACCAGTGCAAGAACTGAACCCTGTGGTACTCCACTCATGACATTTCTCTGATCTGATACATGGCTTCTAATTACTGCCTTCATTTTTTGCCTTATCAATAAACAGATATCTATGTATGCATGTACTCAATCATGCACACAACAATGCAGAAAATATAAGAGACCCAAAACAAGAAATAACCAATTGCTTTCAAAAGAAAAAAGAGAAAGGAAAACAAATTCTCTGACAAGCAAAAGGTTTCTCGCATATAAACTACCATTTGTCAAGTAATTTGTTGTAATCTCTTTCTATAGTCCCCTAAAGATAAAAGTACATAAAAGTGATTATCTAATTCTATATCCACATGTACATACAATGTATGTACAGAGCCCTTTTAATAACTGGCATAAAAAAAATGTATTAACTGACCTTTCCTGAGCTGACTGGCATTGGTTTGGGTCCCATGTTAGGACCTTGGCCATTATTCATTCCTGGCCCATTGTTCATTCCAGGACCATTCATGGGTGGCATCGGCCCATTCATGCCCGCCATGCTGGTCATCTGACTCATAGTGGTCATGGGCATACCCGACCCCGCCATGGATGTGTTCATACTCATGCCATTCATATTGTTCATGTTCATTGGCCCAGACATGGGGCCATTCATGGGGCCATTCATAGGGCCACTCATGGGACCATTCATGGGACCATTCATGGGGCCATTCATGGGGCCATTCATGGGGCCATTCATGGGACCATTCATAGGACCATTCATAGGACCATTCATGGGACCACTCATGGGACCATTCATGGGCCCATTCATGGGGCTACTCATAGGTCCATTCATTGGTCCATTCATGGGACCATTCATGGGTCCATTCATAGGTCCATTCATGGGTCCATTCATGGGGCCATTCATGGGACCATTCATGGGACCATTCATGGGACCATTCATAGGACCATTCATGGGTCCATTCATGGGCCCTCCAGGTCCCATGGGTCCACTCATTGGCCCATTCATGGGACCACCTGGACCCATTGGCCCTCCTGGACCCATAGGACCATTCATTGGTCCCCCCATTGGACCATTCATAGGTCCACCCATCCCCATGTTTTTCATATTTATACTATTCATATATGGCATACTCATGGGGCCCATTGGTCCATGGCTCATAGGTCCTGGCCCTGGTCCTGGCCCAGGCCCTGGCCCAGGCCCCATGCTGGTTGAGGACGGCGCTGACACTGACGGAGAATCATCGAAGGGATTCGATGCCACAATGGTGTCTCCATAACCTGCAAGTATGGAACACATCTTCACATCACATAATGACAATACATGATGGCACTTTCAACAGAGAACTCGGAGATCTTGTAACATCATATTTCATAGCAGACAAGCGATGAAAACATGACTTCTTGAGTTTTCAAGTACACAATATATTTTCCTGTGCATAATTATTATTTATATGTACAGTAATTAAAAATTCTTGTTCATATATTATTTATATACTGTACAGTATCTGAAAATGCTGATACTGTACATGTATAATATCATGCGTTGTAAGAAAAATATAAAAAATTTGTGATTTTGGCCAATTTTTCGGAAATCTTAGTTTTACACAAATTAAATATGGACTGATATCATCCAGATTGATTAGGGGACCTTGTGTTGTCAATTTAAATAAATCATTAGATTGGCTCTGAGGCCAATAATAACAGTACACATGAAGACAATAAATCACTGTGATCTATCACACATACCTTCTATCATATTTCTCAAAACATTTGATATTTTTTTATAACATTAATAAACTTTAAAGGAAAGGAAAGAAAAATATGCACAAGTTGTATAAGAGAAAGAAACAATCAAGGGAGTAAGTTTGGAAGCCAGGAACAGAAATGAGAAGTCAGGATCTGACGTCAGGCAGACAATTAAAAAAAAAACAGCGTTGAATGTAATGAAACGCCATTTTCTGGGTGAGACCTGGAGGCTCCCCTAAGCTATCCAGGCCGATATGCTAATGTCAGACTTTGGCATCAGTCATGTGTATATGGAGTTCTGTGGGCTTACCGGGGACCATGAGCCAGAACCTGGCCCCCTCAGAAGAGGCACGAGGAGCAATGGCCTATAGAAACTCCCATGTGGTTGGAAGGATTCTATTTCTGCCATCGACCAGGTCAGGCTCCCAAAAAGGTAAGTGCCCCAAAACAAACCCCTATTCTGGTGAAAATTGAGATGAAAAGCCGAACAAGTGGATAGAACTCCCAAACAGAAACGGGCAAACGACTATGAGCATCACACCCTACTACAGTATATGGCAAGATGACGGCCCTAAACCTCCACAAGAGAAGGACCAGGCCATGCCAAGAAAACATAGCAAACCGACGAAGGGACAGAAAGAAAAGGGAAGGACCGCCAAAGAAAACCCCACACCACCACCAAGACAAAGCACGCAGGTGGGACACCATCAACGAAGCCACCTGACCACCATCAGATGGTGAGATACTTGAGGCAGAACCGAACCAGCCCTGCCATGGACCGATCGAACATAGGAAGAGGCGGAGCCGCAGGAAAACCTCAGGTGTGACCACCGAGCAAGCAGAGCCGGAACCCAAGCCGGCAAGGAATGAGAAGGAACGCCTGCCGTACAGAAAACATCCCAAGATCCCAATGCTAGCGAGCTTGCCAGAAATCGGAGACACTATGGTTCCGATGCGAGACTCGTGAGAAGTCACACCGCGAGATCCAGAAAATGTGCCTAGACAGAGCACGGAGAGAAGATATAATGACAAAAGAACGAGACAGTATCGAAAACCAAGAAGCAGAATGGAAGAGGACCACCGAGTCCAAAAAAAAGGACTGGAGGGAAACCTCACTGTAAGAAGACAGACGTTCCAACAATGCGGGAAGAATTGAAGACCTTCTTAAACCCCAGAGAACTCACAGAAACAAACAAAATCACGAAGGCTCATAAAGGCACAGTCACACCCGAGACCAAAAATCATGCAGAACCCCGATAATAGGGGAACAGGATCCCGACATGACGGAGAATTCCCATCCCAGAGAAAAGGGGGTAGAAACGGAGAAAAGTACCCACCGATAGGACGGAACCAAGGGCCTCGTAGCCTGGTGGATAGCGCGCAGGACTCGTAATTCTGTGGCGCGGGTTCGATTCCCGCACGAGGCAGAAACAAATGGGCAAAGTTTCTTTCACCCTGAATGTCCCTGTTATCTAGCAGTAAATAGGTACCTGGGAATTAGTCAGCTGTCACGGGCTGCTTCCTGGGGTGTGTGTGTGTGTGTGTGTGTGTGTGTGTGTGTGTGTGTGTGTGTGTGTGTGTGTGTGTGTGTGTGTGTGTGTGTGTGTGTGTGTGTGTGTGGGGAAAAAAAAGTAGTTAGTAAACAGTTGATTGACAGTTGAGAGGCGGGCCAAAAGAGCAAAGCTCAACCCCCGCAAACACAACTAGGTGAATACCTGAAGGGGCAAGGATCCGAACCCGGGGAGGGGCCGACGCAACTCGTACGCAAAGGGGGGGGAAGGAAAAATCCCACTCCCCATAACCGCAAACCCCGCTCAGAGGGTAGAAAACCCCTGCGGGGTCCAACGGAGCCCAAGGCCCCCCAAGTCAGCCGCTCCCCAACCCTAGGGAAACTCCACGGCAGGCCCCAGGGCCGAGCCGTCCCCCCAAAGCCCCAGCCTCATAAGAAAAAGCCGGGGCAGCCGGAAATTTACTAAGGAAGGAAGCACACTGGCACTCATACAACCCAGCTGGAGGAACAGGCTCGAATGCCTCCGTCGCTACCCTGGAAGGGGAAACCCCCGAGACTGCCAGAGTCTCAAGATCATTGAATCCCTGCCCCGACCCCGAACCCACAGACAGAAAGGATCCGGATGCAGGGAGGACGGGGGAGGGGGGCATACGAAATCACAACAGGGAAAAGACAACTGGGTGAGGAAGGAACAAAACCGAAGCAACCAACACCCCCGAGCCCCGTCACAACAATCAAAATGGAGCAGCCTCGGGGTTTCCGGGGAGCAAACAACCTACCACATTGCAACCACCTGAACCCAACGTGCAATGTCTGTGCTGCCTGCACCCACATAGTCAGCGTAAGACCAGGTAACCGAGTCACAAATAAGCAACGAAACTCGCAGGACTCCGGGTCGAAGGTGCCACCAACCCCACAGGCAGCAGATGGAGGCAAAAACAATGAGTCACCCTGAGACAAAGGGACAGAGCAACCCTCGAACTCGCAAAAAGCGAGGGGGGACTCAGGGGTCACATCCATTGGACCCATGTGCCCCCGTGGGGAATCCCAGGGGTCCTGAGACGGAACTCATGCTCAGGGAAGCCCAGGCAGGGTACAGAGCACCACTTGGTTTCAGAACCCCTAGGGGACGAGACCCGTCGATTAACATGTAAGTTCGTAAACGAGAAATAGAGGGAAAAATAAACTTAAACGTAAAAAGAAATTTTTCAGAAGAATTTATGAAAAAAACTCGAGGGGAAAAAATCGACAGGTTCATAGCATGAATGCGACTGTATTTTGTTTGTACTCACCAATAAGTGAAGTCCTGATCCGCCTCATAAAAGTCCTTAATTGTTCCTAGCTGATTATTAAGATGTCTGGCAAACATCCTCTAGATGTTTCCTGCCAGCCTGCAGGAACATCCTGCCAGCCTGCCAACCTGCAGGCACATCCTGCCAGCTAGCCTGCCAACCTGCAGGCACATCCTGCCAGCCAGCCTGCCAACCTGCAGGCACATCCTGCCAGCCAGCCAGCCAGCCAGCCAGCCAGCCAGCCAGCCAGCCAGCCAGCCAGCCAGCCAGCCAGCCTGCCAGCCTGCCAGCCTGCCAGCCTGCCTGCCAGCCTGCCTGCCTGCCTGCCTGCCTGCCAACCAGCCAGCCAGCCAGCCAGCCAGCCAGCCAGCCTGCCTGCCTGCCTGCCTGCCTGCCTGCCTGCCTGCCTGCCAGCCAGCCTGCTAGCCTGCCTGCCAGCCTGCCAGCCTGCCTGCCTGCCAGTCAGCCTGCCTGCCTGCCAGCCAGCCAACCAGCCAGCCAGTCAGCCAGCCAGCCTCCCTCCCTGCCATCATGCTAACGGGTCAAGTGTGTTAGGCTTATCTTCGGGAGTGAGCCGGTCTCTCCCCCCCCTACATCCCATACTCTCTCTCAAAGGTCACGCGGTTCAACCGCGTGACTCCCTCCCTGCTTGCTTGCCAGCCAGCCAGCCAGCCAGCCAGCCTGCCAGCCTGCCAGCCTGCCAGCCTGCCAGCCTGCCTGCCTGCCTGCCTGCCTGCCTGCCTGCCTGCCTGTCTACCCACCAGCCTGCCTGCCAGCCTGCCTTTCCCCCCCTCCCTAATTCTCACTACTTCCCTCCCTTCCTGACTGATGCAATGTGTGCATTTGGAGATAACATGGTGCACAGATGTTTCTTGATTGTGCACATATGTAAAACAAAAGCACAGAATGAACATTCCAGCCTCATGACACTTCAAAATAATAGGAATAATAGGCCATGAATCTGTGAAGTCATAGTGGGCAAATTGGACCATCTCCCACCCACCACCACAGACCAGCGTGACGCTTGGCGGACCCCTTCCTACCCGAACTTCGTTCGGGTAGCATGACTCCCCAACCCCAATCGGGAAACTGGAAGTTTCGGATAACTAAAGTTTGGAAACCAAGTAGTGCTCTATACTGCAAACTGGCGCCCAAGTCTACCAAACAACCTTTTAAGAACTGAACCCCCAGGATGTGTACACTTATGGGGACCTAGCAGGGAAAACCACCAGAAACAGAAGAGTACTCAGTACACAGGGGGGCAAGAACCAAGACAGACCATCCCCACCAGGCAGGCAAAGAAAAAGAAACCCCCGCAAGAGGACAGCGCACCCAGTTGGAACAGAGCCGGCCGCTATGATTGGTGAAAACAAGCTGCATAGTACCCTGCGCCCCTACCAGTGCAAACTGCCCCCCTACCCAAAGGCAAGCAAGGGAGACAGAACACCCAAGCACACAAAGGGCGGCCGAAAACCAAGCATTAAACTGCCTAGTTGGGGCAGAACCCAAGGAACTTGTGGAAGGTTGCCCCAAGGGCAGTACTAACTTTTTTTTTTGTACTCACCTAATGGTGCTTGCAGGTGTTGAGCTCTGGCTCTTTGGTCAAAGGAAACCCTAGGCGCATGCAGCCCGAGTACGGAAGAATCACTCCCGGCTCACGCACCACCTAGAAGACAGTCACCACAAACAAGGTCCAGTGCTGAAACAATCACTGAAGTCAGAGCACACGACCGTTACCTATAGTATCAGCCTCAGAACTGAGAGGTAGATTGCCGGCGCAGGGGTCTGGGGCTCCCCCTTCCCCCTACCGGGAATGGGGACCTGCGCAGACAGTGGCACGGGGACATGTGACATCATACTCGTTTGCCCGTTTCTGTTTGGGGAGTTTTATCCACTGGTTCGGCTTTCGTCACAATTTTCACCAGAATAGGGGTTTGTTTTGGAACGCTTACCTTTCTGGGTGCCGGACCCAGTCGATGGCAGACAGAGAATGCTTCCAACCACACGGGGGATTCTATTGGCCACTGCTCCTCATGCCTCTTCTAAGGGGGCCAGGTTCTGGCTTGTGGTCCCCGGTAGGACCACAGAACTCCATACACATGACTGATGCCAAAGTCTGACATTAGCATATCAGCCTGGATAGCTCTAGCAGCAAATTAGTGCAGAACACTGCAGACAGAATTCTATAATAATTTTTGGATGTTTGGAGGAGATACCATCTAAGGTCGACAGAACGTCAGAAGAGGAAAAAATCATTGAGAAAATACAGTAGTAGGTTTAGGGAAAGGCCTGCCAATGATGGAAAATATCAGTGATTTAGGAGAACAGGAAAGTGTGTAAAATGTATGTCTCAAGAGCAGAGGTCTTGAGTCACATCTTATTGACAAGAAAAAAATGTCTACATGTTATTATTTGACTGACAAATAATGTAATTCAAACAAGAGTTGTTTGCCGACATTCTGAAATAAACTATAATATTTGTTTTAGTTTGATTGTATTAAAATTTAACTTACAAAACATGAACAAGGCTGGAAGAGACACCAACATAAACATGAACCTTATATACTGTACTTAATCATTGGTAACATAACATGATTCCTCTTCACTACACTAAGGCGATATTTCTAAATTTTTGTGATAAATCTAGGGATGTAAGAGAATGTTTGCACCGCACAAAACAATATTACTGAGTCACCTTCTGCATGTGATATGTGTCTTTCTAGGCCCTCTCATAACTTTGTGCCAAATGTTCCAGTTATACGAACATTTGTTTATGTACAGAGACATGGCTTGACCTCATACCCAAATATTTTCTTCATTTACAAAGTTGGTCAAATACTCAGAAATTATTCAACCCCCATTACTGTACCTGCCTTGGATTCCTAACCCCTGCTGTCAGTGTGTGACTATTTCTCCAGGTGAGCTACACTTGCCCACGAGTTTGTAGCCCTGGATATATGGTGCTTCTGGGATATGGTTCTCTGCAACACAGTTAAATATATTCAATTCTGAGTAATTTATTTCCTTTTCTTTTGTTGTATTTCGTCATGGGGATTCTTGTTTAAGTGAGTAATCGAGTTCAGTAATGAACTCCATTACTGTGAGCTAAAATATAAATGAGTGGACTGTTAGGGGCCAACTCGGAAGAAACTGAGATATGAATTCCTCTGGTACCTCTTTACTGTTCTGTGCTGTCATGTGTTGGTGGGTTAGCAGTAGTGGACAACAGCAAACTAGCAATTACCAGAGCAATGCTTAGCAGTCTGTTTGAAGCTAATTATTCCTTGAAGGAGGATTTTGAGTATAGGTGAACAAACCATCTGGAGGTCATTTTGGGTTGGACTGAAAATACTCGAGTGTCTCACTTCCCTCATTTTTTACTTGATGCTGGTGGCTTGAAAAGTTTCTAGCTGTATCAAAGATTGTGTTACACTAACCTACTATCTTTGTGCTACGTACAAGAGAGATGAAAATATGCTAAGGAAAAGACAAAGTGGCTCAAGCTCAGAAAGAGAGACATACTATATATATCAAGAACATATCATACCAATTTTTATTATGCAACCTACCATACCTGATGTAAACCAAATCAATATACAGTACTGTACTATATTTTAACTAGAAAAATGTAAAAAATTAATCTAAAGCTGATGAATAAATAGCAATTATCTTATTACGTTAGAAGCAAGACTCCAAACCAAATACATCAGACTACTAAACAGAGGTTATACAATGCATAATTATCTAAATAATTCACTTGGACACAAACTCAAATTTCAAAGGGAACTCAGCTGGTTATGGTACTTACAGAATGGACCCTCAACTGAATGAAATGCTGCTTTGTAAAAAGAAAGCTAATTATATAATCAGTTGAATAAATGGTAGTTCTGGGAAGAATTTATGACATTATAAGCAGTCCAAAATAATAAAAACACATTAATAATAATAAAAGTAATAATTCAAATATAACTTGCATTAGGTTGCTCAAGGATTATTATTTGAATATCCTATACCAATAACTCCCATGATATGACAATTTTGTTTTATAAGCTCTTTTTCACTTCTCTTCTTCCCTCTCATTACTATGAACCCTTCCCTCCTCCCCTCTTACTTCTTCCCTCTCCTCATTACTCTGAACCTTCCCCCCCCCCACTTACTTAACTGAGTAAAACAGTAAACAGGACACTGGAGTTAGTACAGGAGAGAAATGACCCGGTATCCACTACATCAAAACTAGAACTGAGCTTGGGGATGCTCCTGGCAGGCAGCTATTCCCCCCCCCCCCTCCCTTGAATGAGTTGGGGAAGATTGGCAAACGAGCTCGTGCTAGTGTAGTTCGGAGAGATTTCAATCATTTGTTCACATAGGTGGAGGAGAGGTCTTTGGGCTTGTTTTGAGGATTTAGTCTCTCTTGAATCCAGCATAGATAGAGCAAATGATAGAGGGATTGATGGTGAGAGGGAAGGTAAGAGAAGAGGTGATGGGGAGAAGGTGGATAGATAGGGAAGAGAGATTTGAGAGACAGGAAGAAGAGGGGAAAAGATTATGAGAGGAAGAGAAAGGGGAGGGGAAAGAGACCCAAGCACACACAGGTACCCCCCTAGCAGCAAAATGAAACAAAAAACAGAATACTATATGGCAGCCCTCTCAGTATGTCCATTGTTTTATGAGCTGTTGTTGACAATAAGAAATAATCCCATTAATAGTGTTCCCCAATGTTTCTCCATGCAGTGGGTTGTTTTGGTGCGCTCTGTCTTTCTAATGACTTTTGTCACTTGACTTGGGTTGACCTAGTATCATCAGATTCCCTTTGATGAGTGGACCAGATTCTGCATCTGGTCTGCACCAGGTGTTTATGACTCACAAGGGCCCGGAGCTAACCAAGCGGCTAGCTCAGGAAGCCACCGAGGGAGACCTCCCAGAACACGGGTCTTGCAGCCACAGGGTTAATTTATTATTGCAGAACAAGAAGCCCTCATTTTATAAACACAAAAATTTTTAAGCTTCATATCAATGCAAAGCAGCATTAGTATATTACTAAGAATCAAAGCAATGGGAAATAAAAATGGCAAAGCCAAAAGGTATCCTTTTGAATACCAAAAAGGTATTCAATTCAAAATACAATAAAAGAAATTACAATAAATTATTAATTAATTAAATCATAAATGATAGTTCTCAAGAGTATGAAACAAATCAAAACATAAGCAAAAACCCTCAATTTATCATATTATAAAGAAAATTCCTGTTACAAAACTACAACTCATCCCTAGAAAGATAATGCCTTGTAATAACTAATTATAATACGTTTTGAAGAGTATTTTTCATTAATGTTACATTTCTTTCTAGAGGACCCACACTCTTATGATGACATTCAGGAACTTATCATCTTTACATCATGACAGAACTATTTATACATGAAGATCTGGCTTTAGCCTTCTCATTACATGCCATTCTAATAACCAATGTCAAGCGACTCTAGATAAGTTGTGTACAAAGGTACCTTACCCGAGAGAGGGGGTGGTATCAATTCATGACTGGGTGGTGTGGATGGTGGTCCTTGTGCTGAGGGTGGAGGATTTGAAGTGCGTCTCTTCTTTTTAGGGTTATTTGGAGAATCAGGAGAGCCCCCCGTACCTGGCTTAAAGTCAGCCGCCAGGCTGCTGTTGTTGGCAACTGCCAAAAGGAAATATCGTAATAAGTGAATTATGTGCACATATACTGTATATATAGTACAGTATACACATACAGTATATATATATAACAGATATATACTGTATATCAATTATTATATGTGCTATTAACCAAATGCTAACTCACACACTAAAGCAAAACGTTCTTGTAATTATTATTTAAATTAATCAGGAAGTTATCAATAAAAGAAAGTAGTGACAGCACGAACATGCAGTAAATGATGAAAGCACTACATTCAGTTATACATTATCCAAGTCACCTAACCCAATGATATCTACATCCAAACATGCTATGGCTCTTCCGAGCCATGGGTGTTGCAGGGTAGGGGGAGGGGTCCATGATATGACAGAAGACAAGCTTATACAGACCAACTGCATTAATCATAGGCTCTTGTTACACTGACAACTCAATATGACCACCTGAAATTTATTTGTGGACAATCTGATATTGATGAACATAGTACCCAATCATCATCCTCATTTGTTAGTATTTTGTTTTGGTCTGCTTTGCTTTCCATTCCTGCTTCTAGTTGCACTCCATATATAGTGAGTGCACAGTGTGGGAGATAGCAGCAGGTGTGAAAAGTATCCAGTGGATAATGGCAGTTGGAAATAAGAGAAACGTGGGAGTGGCTGGGGATGTAGTTGAAGGTGAAATTTAAATTAAAAATCTTTATTCACACAAGTGTTGACTTTTATTCAAATACAAAAACTTTCATTTATAAAATGGCCAAATTCAGAAAATATTTTACTTAGTTTAATTTTTTAAAATATATCCTTCATTTAATCAAGAAAAGAAAATATTAATAGCCTAACACTGATCATTATAAATTATGTACTGTATAATAAAAAACCAGCATTGTATGTAATGAAACAGCATTTTCTGGGTAAGACCCAGAGGCTCCCCAGAGCATACCAGGCTGATATGTATGTATTAGACCGTGGCATCAGTCAATTGGAGTTCTTTTGCCTACCTGCGGACATGAGCCAGAATTTGGCCCCCTCAGAGAGACTAGGGGGTAATAATGGTCTATGGAAACCCCACGCATTTGGAAGAATTCCATATCTGCCATCGATCGAGATTTTCACCCAGAAAGGTAGGCATCACACAAAACAAACCCCACATGGTAAAAAAAAATATTATTGCTACCTAAAGATCGAACAGAAAAAAGAACTCCCCAATTCTAAAACAAGCAAACAAGCAAATGTCACACCCCGCTGTTGCATCGCTCATTCGGGCAGCAAACTGCCCACCGGGAAGGGGAAGAAGGGCCCAGGACCTCCAGCGCCGGCTGCTCCACCATTCAGTTCTGAGGCTGAACATCAAAAACCATGTGAAAAAAAAATGACCAGGAGGAGAGAGGGAGGGTGCTGGGAAGCCTCTGAGGCTCACCCAGAGAATGGTGTTTCATTACATTCAATAGTGGTTTTCTGTGGGAAGCCCCTACAGCTCTCAGGAGTTACCTAACCAAAGAAAAGTGAAAAGAGGGACTTGCCCGGGAGGCAGTTGCCATGCGCTGCGCCTGCGCCTGCGACGTAAAGCGACACACGCCTGACTGGGGCCAGGAATGTTGACCAGGTAATGGACTCAAGGTAATGACTAGGTAATGGCGGCAAGGACTCTGTTTGACCCCCAAAATCCCCGTGCCTGAATGTCAGCCCAAGATATGTTGCCAAAGACGGCAGCCAGAGCAGCAAACTTACAAACGTCATGGTACGAGAATAGACCGCAATGTCTATAATAATATAATAATAATGTCTGGCTGGACCGAATAACTCTGCAGATGACCTGGGACACCCGAGCCCTGGAACAGGGAACAAGGGAAACTAATCAACTCAAAATGCATCCCCAGCCATAGACATTGTTGCCCACAGGTAACAGCGAAGAGCCACAACCAGACACAACACATGATGCACACCCGGCCTGCCAAACACAGAATGAGATGCCAGAGTCGACGACCTCCACAGTCAGACATCAGCCGAGAACTAAATGGTGGAGCAGCTGGCACTGGAGGTTCAGAGCCCCCCTTCCAGCCTCCCGGGAACGGGGGGCTGTGCAGATGAGCGACTCAACAACAGGATGTGACATTTGCTTGTTTGCTCATTTTAGGATTGGGGATTTATTTTCTCTGTTCAGTCTTAGGGCAGCGATAATATTTTTTTGTTTTACCATGTGGGGTTTGTTTTGTGATGCCTACCTTTCTGGCTGCCAACCCCGGTCGATGGCAGGTATGGAGTTCTTCCAAATACACAGAGATTTCCATTCGCCATTGCTCCCCTAGTCTTTCTGAGGGAGCCAGTCGCCGGTGGGCAAAAGAAATCCAATCGACTGATGCCACAGTCTAATACATACAAATCAGCTTGGTAAGCTCTGGGAAGCCATAAGGACTCCCCACAGAAAAGTATTAAATGTAATGAAAGGCCTCTTTCTAATGGGTTCCCCTCAGTGGCTCCTTTTAGATAACCACCTGGATAGTTGCCCACATCATGTCGCATCAGGCCTTTGAGAGTCAGCAAAAGTCTACCAAACACCAGAGGATGAAACCTGGTCCACTCAATGTGGCACGAGAAGCAGGGGATGCTAGATCAGTCTAACCCGAAAGAATGAGCCAACAGAACAGTTGAGGAAAAAACAGAATTGAATGTAATGAAACACCGCTTTCTGATTGAGCCTCAGTGGCTCACTGAGACAGCTCCACACAAGTCACATCAGCTTTACAGTAGGAGACCTGAATACCGAAACCTGGCCCCCATACAGGGGTGCAGGGAGCTAGGGTCACTACGATTATGCACACCAAAGAAACGTCCGGAAAGTAAGCAAAACAAATTAGACAACTACATGGTTCACAAAGAAATAAGCAATAAAGCTGTAAATGACTGCAATCAATCCACTTGGTAGTCAGTTTGAACTCCTCATAGTTACAGCTAACAACCACTAGGTAACAGAACTATCAGGGGCTGCCGGCTCCCATGTCAACACACCTCAGTGCAGTGCCGAAGACCACATACCTGCCTCCTGGCACTCAGCACCAGGAAGCACAAGTCACACTGCAACAGGCTCCAGGAATATCCAATTGCCTAAGTATTGTGAACAGGTTGAGGGCTGTAAGTGGTGTCCCAGGTTACATAAAGGTATAGGGAAGCTGAAAAGTAAATAAGATACAAGAAATAAGTGCAACTGAGTGAAAATCCTGTGTTGGAAAAGTTTATATTCCAAAACAAAAGATTGTCAATAACAAAGATGGCCACCACCACAGGACAGGTAAGCGCACCAGCAGATGTTCTCCTGGTTCAACCTTGACGCCAAGCGGATATCTGGACGCCAGGCGGACATCTGGACGCCTCCTTCGCCTGGGAGCCGCCGGTTCATGTTTGGTTTTGCAATTTTGGATTTCATACTGCTGTTTGGCACTCCTATTCAACGGTTCGGTTGTACGATGCCTGGCGCACATATCGCCTTGGGTCATCAGGTTGTTGATAGATTTTTTTCACGTGTTCTGGCTGGTTCTTCTGGCAGGGTGACGGTGTACAGTGCCGGCATGGCTGAGAGGTGCCGGGAGTTGGTGCGTCTTGGTGGACTCCTGGTGTGCCCTCAGCCATGGTTTGTAGGTAGCTTCTGCTCCGCCAGAAGGAACTGGATGGCTTTTGTGTTTTTGCTGGGGGCCCGAGTTTTGGTTTTGCTACCCAGTGTTCTCTGTATGGGGCGGGGCCGGTGCTTGTTACCCAGAGGGACTCCTGGGGCTCCCCAATCATCTACCCGTTTGTGTTTCTTTGCCGCGAGGCATATTGGTTTCAAGTAATTGGCGTCACTTGTTTCGCAATTAGGCTTGGCGTTTCACCTTTCCGGGCTTCGCGATTAACCCATCACGGGTACGCCGGGGCGCATCCGATCCCACGATTGTTGTCGCCCCTAAATCAACACCACCACCACCACCAGATGAATGTTTCCAAGGATTCTCAGAAAAAGATACAAGGAAAGGAGGCAGGTTAGAAATTACTGAGGACAGGCTAAAGAAGTACTGTATAAAGAAAAGGTCCTTAAATTAGAACAAGACAAGGAAGCTTTCAGAGATGAGGTTCACACTTTAAAAGGAAACATTCTTCAGCAAAGTAGGAAAATTACCACCTTAACAGACAAGGTAAAGAGACAGGAGGAACAAATCAAGGAACTAGTGTAAGAAAATGAGGCATAGAAAGTGAAGAGTGGTGAATTTGAAGAAATTAACAAGAAAATAGACTCATATGGTGAACCACTCCAAGGAATCCTAAAGACTAAGATGGAGTTAGGCAAGAATATACAAAGAGAAACTTCATGGACAACTCACATAGAGGAGGTTAATAAACAACTAGAAAGGTAAAAAGAAGAAATAAAAGAGACATGTGTGCAAGTTGTAAATGAGAAAAAAACGTTCAAGGAAGTGTGTTTGGAAGTCAAAACTGGAAATGACCAACAAGACGCAGAAATTAGACAAGCAATTAGGAAAGAACTGGTTACCAACAGTAAATTAGTACAAAACACTACACACACAAGTCCACAATAATTTTTGGGTGTTCAGAAAAGGAAATATCATTAGGGTGGACACAGCAGCAGAAGAGATGAAAATCATTGAGAAAATAGTAGGTTTAGGAGAAGGCCACAATTCAAAGTAAAATGTCAGTGATTTTTGGAGACTAGGAAAATATGAAGATGGTAAACTTTGGTCAATAAGACAAAACCTCTCAAAGGAAGACAGAGAAAAGCTGAATATGAATCTCGATGAAGCAAAACGTCTAAATTGGAATAGAAATGAAGAAATTTTATTTTCCACAAAGTGTAAGGGACTGGAAAGCTAGTGAAATGGTACATAAAAACAAAGCAACAAAATCATTAGAGGAAGGGGAAGTAAAAAACAGAGAGAAAGGGAAGAGGTTCCTGAAAATTGTATATACCAACATAGATGGAGTGAGATAAAAAATACTGAAGCTAAAAGAGGTAATTCAGCT